TCGCATCGATAACGTTTAATGGATGATCACTGATCCCGTAATTTGCAAATATACGAGGAATTTACATCGTTAAATCGCGCATTTATACAATCTTAAATTGTAGAACATATTCAATTTAATTAAACATATTTTATTTAATTCAAAAACTATATGGGCATATTTTTTTAGACAAAAACCAGTCGCAAATTGATCACGAAATCGTTAAATGGATGCAGGTATCGAGTTCCTATCTAAATTATTAAATTCCTTGATATGCTCTACATTGGTTGTTTGGATAAATTCTTCTCAATTGCGTTTCCCAGAGATCTCAATTAACGTTATATTTATCGAAAGCAATAAAATTCTCGATGGACAGTCCGACCTGCGGCGTCGCGTCGCGTCGCGTCGCTCCAAATTCGCGCGTCGATCGCCCCGAAGTGCGATGCCCCACGATAGAATGTCGCGGCTCCTATATATACTCAATTAGTTCCGGCACCGCGGAATCGCATCATCCCGATAACGCGCTAGCGCTGGCATAATAATTCCGTTTGTCACGCTAGTTACGCACTCTACATAGCGTCGTGCGAGAGATCGCACGCGCATCGCAGGCGCGCAACCCACGATGCCGCATAAGGCTGCCGCATTAGGATGAGGGGAGGCTCGGACGTCGCGACGCAGCGCGTCTTTTTCTCCGCAATGGAGAGCGGAACTTTGGTCGGGATGGCGGTATAAATAAAAATTTGACATCTACTTTAGTGCATAGTTATATACATATTTGTTGGCACAATGTAAAATATTTTCAATGTTTGTCTCTCCGTATTTATCCCCCAAAGAAAAGCGATGGCAGTTAAATTGAAAAAAACAGTTGAATTTATACACTGAATAGTTTTATACACCCTTTAGAGCCCCAGAAAAGATGATTATGAGAATTACGATGAATTATCATTGTTACTTTATTTTCGTAATTATTTATTTTAAATTGCTGTAAAAGATATTTGAAAATATTACTATTATCTTTTTAAAATAAACGAGATTACTATAAAAATTATGATCGCAACAACCATAGTCAATATATCTGCAGTAAATCGCAGGAAGTAAAAACAACGAGGAAGAAAATGTTGAATATCTTACAATTAGTATCTTAGATTAGACATAAGTGTACAAATAGCGAGTCGACTTCATGCAGGATTGATCTTCATTTGCATCAGGAACGTAGAATTCCATATCCTATTAAGGCTTAATCGGCAGGATCTCCTCCAGCGCGACCAACAACCCACGCCTCACATATAATGGCGTACGGTCCGTGGCATAATCGGCATATTATACGCGATATTCCCGGGCGCGCGTGATATTAACGGGAGCGTAAAGTATCTCGTTCTCTCGTTACACGTGCGCCGCATTAGACACGTTAGCACGTATAGGAAGACGTATAGATGCTGCATGCTATTATACGTGGTAAGCGCCGCCGGAAGAGCCGTCCCGAACCAGAGCGTCGCGGAAGAACTTCTCCTCCGCTTCCTAAAAGTTAATTATTATAATCGCCGCGGTTGTGCGAAATTAATTGCGCCGGCTGAGCGGACGGAGATGTGACCGGTGATCTCCCCGACGATGTTACACAACCTGTTTTGGCCAAGTCGAGCTCTGTTCGCAAGATGGATGATCGTGTGACGTGTGATAAAACAGAAATGCAATATTAATTCCGTTTTGAATAATCTTATAACTTGAATTTATTGAAATATGCATGAAAATTGAAAAACGAGCGCATCTGACAGACAGTATTTCTATTATTAAAAATATCTGACGGTCATTTTATGTATAAATGAATTATGATCGGTTAATATTTCAAATTTATATTGTGTTAATTTGTATGATATTTTCGAGCAAGTATCTGCCTCGGCAACGAGTAATTTTTCATCGCGCAATATTGTTTTGCCTGCAATTAGAATGCCGGCAAATGGATACTTATGACGTTATTAATTTCGGAGTTTGTGAATTTTTTGCGATGAAATGTATACGTGAAATAAACCTCCGCGGAATAATTTGCGTTATGTGGACTGGAAACGGGATCTGCGTTGCTAACGATACGTGGAATGCGTTTTCACGCACCACGCATGGTTGACCCGCGAGAAATGATTTTGCGGAGCTAGGTAAATAGCAATTTTCGCAATTTATTAAGAGTACTCGTTACTCATTAGCAGGCCCATCCTCTCTCTCACATAGTTAGTTATACGTGCCTACTCTTTTTATTCGCGAAACGCGAGAAACTCTTAAGTAGCCTTACCTTATTTGTGTGAAGTAAGGAAGGAAGTAAACAGTTTTCCAGAGAAAACCAATAATAACGCGTGACTTTTCAGGAGTTAGTTTTTACACTTTTTGAAATCTTCGAATTAATTTATAAATTAACATGAATAATATAATAGACATCTTTTTTGGATATATCGTGCGATGAAACTATTATATTTAATATTTATATATTTTATTTGAATTTTCGCATAATTGTTACAGAAATAGTATTCATGTTTATAAGAGAAATGTGAAATTTCGAAAAATAATGTTTATATTAGTATGTTAAAATAATAAGGTGTACTTTATTTGCATATATAATTGATTTTTAATACAGGATTAATGTCAACTTTGCTCGCAGATAGCACATCGCGATATGATAACGAGGATATGTTTTTTTCGATATTCTCTTGCCCCCTGTGGCGTGATGAAGGATACTTACATGGCAGCGGTAATTTATAGCGGTTGCTCGTAATTTTTATTTTCCAGCGGGGTTAAGCGTTTTTACCGTAATGTGCAGTGTTTTTCTTAAACGGGTTCAACGCGGCATAGTCGAACGCTGGGAGAATCTTTCCGAACCGGGTAAACGGATGCAGCCGTGTATATTCAACGTATTGTTACCGGCCTCCAGATCGCGCTGGAGATAGTCGCTTATTAGATTCAATGCCCCGTCTCATCGCGTTGGATCTGTCAGTTACGGACCGTTAAATGGCTGTCGTAATAGGCCGCGACAATTGTGTTACGGTATTCACGCGTGTCGCTCGCTTTTACGACAGTTTTAGACAAGGAATAGGTACTCACTCGCGATTTGTCGCTCCGGTGGAACGACACAAGTAACGACACGAAAATTTAACATCAATAAATATCTATATACAATTTTTCTATAAAAATTTGTTCTGGAGAAATAAATTCGAAAAAAATAATAGGAAACTTATTACCCGAGGCATTATTTAGTATTTATCGCCATCAGGATCAATATTGTAATAGCTTTGCCTTTTGATTTTTTTGTAAAGAATTGACATATCTAATAGTAAAAGTGTGAATAAAAATACATTTTGAAGTTGGAATGCATACGATAATTTCTGAGGCCCTATTTATTATTACGTGAATATGCAATCGGATATTTTTTTTAGACGATGGGGACAGTCGGCGGCGCGTGTCACTTCCGGTGGAACGAAATTTTCACTTTTCCATTAAAATGTAATTATCGCGAACGGACGCCTGAAAAGCACCTGAGCCATTATCCACGGTAAAGCAAGTCATAATTTTTCGGCCACGTGACCGATACCTAACGATATCGTCCCGCGGGATCTGATTCGATAAAATCGGTTCTCCGTCTCTCTCACGGAATACGAAAAGCCGGTGACGCGTAAAATGTAATTAACTGCGATGGAGACATTTCGGCATGCATAATTTATTTTAGATTAATCAATAAACACACACGCGAAGAGCTTCTTGCTCTTTTCGTCCGTATGCTAATTTAAGATTATAATATTGATAAAATATTTAATCATGATTTGAGCCCTAGAATACTATTAACTTTACATAAAATGTTTCGAAGCTGACGCTATCATCAAGGAATAACTATTATAATTCCAACAATTTACTACATTATAGCTTAAAACTATATATACAAATTATAATAAAACCTATTATAGCATTACTTTCCCTTGGAAAACTATAATAATACAATTCTTATGTGCGTCATTCGAGGCCTCGTCTATTATTCATTGGTAGACTATATGTGATTATCTCAATGACAGAGCACCTTTTTTTCTCTCGCCTAAATTAAGTACTCGATGCACTAATCGTATACAGGGCATACAGGCCAACTAGCCGCGAACGCGCTATTCTATTTACAATCCATCTTTCGGCAACGACAGACACAACGTGCTCCATTTTAGCTGCCATCGCCTCTCTCTCGCGTGAGAAGGGATCGGTCCAAGGTCGAAGCCGAGCACTCCCAGGTAGGCTTTTTCCCTCCACCCTTCTCGCGCTCTCTTTGAGGGGTATATATCACCCTCGCGTACGCGGCTATCGGGGTGACCATCCCTCCCGTGGTGGTGGGAGCTTCCATTGCTACCCCATGCTGTCTGCCACCCCGGAACTCGACCGGCGGTGTATCTACCCTCGAAAATCCATAGTGGACCCACCCTCGATAGCGCCTGCGCATCTCCTGGTTTTGTTCCAACGACCAACCCCTCGTTCTTGCCCTCGGCGTGGAATAGCGTCGGCGAATACACATAAGCAAATGCAGCTAATAATACTACATCATTGTGACTGTAACATGTATTGAATATATCTCGAAGAGATATATATACGAGGATAATTGAAAAATTAGGTATACGAAAAGATAGTTCAATAGATTAAGAGATCAACTAATGAAAGTAAAAGAGATAAATAGATAGAAGAGAGAAGAATAAGTGTACATAACGTGATTATCTATACTTGTTTTAAAATGTCAAGAATAAGTTTTGTTTTTTTCTTCAATCTTTCTGTACAGGTGTTTAAATTTCGGCGATAGAGAAATTAAATAAATGAGAAATTTTATAGAGAGCTTTCTAAATCTTTCCTCTCAGTGCAGCTGACATCTTTTTTTCTCTCATATTGTTCTCTCCGCGTGATTTTATTTGGTCTCTTTAAAAGATCATATCAACCTATCATAGTCCCGAGTCATCGGCCATTCTTTGTCCACTCGTCTTCCGCTTTTCGCGCGCGCGCGGGCGCGCGCACAGAGGATGGCAGTGCACAAAACAGGCTTTAATGCGAGCACCGAGGCAACCTTGACTGGGATTTACCCGCCTGATGGATTCGAGGATGGCGTGCGGTGAGAGCTTCCGACCGTCTGAACGCGCCACCTTGTAACTCATGTTATTTAATTCTAATCAGTCAGTCGTTTACGGAATTAGTCGACGAGAGAATGCGACTAATTTATAATTCTTAATCGAACAATCGGGCACTCATTACGTTTTTTGGCACTTGCAAATACTCAGGAACATTATCATCTAGCTTATTTTTATCTAATTATTATATATACACATTATTTTTTTATCAAAGATTTTAATTTAATTTTACGTAAATTACAACGACAAATCGAAACCATCAAGTCTATTTAAATTGTGAAAAATTTTAATGCAAATATAAATAAATAACGCCTTACAAATATGAAGAATTTTAAATAAATCTCTAATTATATTGATCCAATATAACTTGCATTGCTTTTCACGACATTCGCTTTTTTTCTTGGATTCGCAAAAAAAACGCATTCAGTTCGAATATAACACTGGAATGCGTTTTTGCCGGCACGAAGTCCCTCGCGCGATTTTCTTCGAAAAGTCGGTGAACCTGTCTCTCCAGGAAAACGTCATTGAAAATTACCCTGGCGGTGATCCAGGATGAAAATTGCCGGGAGACCTTTCCCTTAACGACCGCGGCAACATTGCCCGGCCATTAAGCGGAGTCTGAAGTATACACAGTATGTTTCGAGTGCGTTACAGTGTCACGGTTCGCGGAGTCGATACGCATCTACGCAACTGGTCTAATGCTCCAAATGCATTATGCGCGTGGATTATCGGGAGGGGGGGGGGCGCGCGAGGACTTGACACGTTATCACCTGGCCTACCTCTGGCCTGGTCAAAATCATGCGTCACCTCGACAGCTTGATCGAAATAATCGATAAGCGCTCAAGATGAAATAATCGAGCCGTTATTCTCTTATGCCCGTTCTAGACTGGAGGATGAGCCGACTCTCGGCTCATCCGCCTTCTATAGTGTACGTGACATAAACTATACATAACCTATAGATTTTTACCCGTCTACACCACTCACTCGGATGAGCCGAGAGTCGGCTCATCCTCCAGTCTAGAACGGGCATTATACGTTTCATGCCACGTGTCTGGCGCTAAATACAACAACCGAACTTCAAGTTTTGTTCGGATCCGTCCCGTTGAAGCGTTCACTTCACTCGCGTAAGGTACACGTATGAAAATAAAATGATACACCGAATCGAAATTCATGTTTCAAAGGGGTGGATTTACTCCGTTCTCGATATAAGTAATATAAGTTAGCAAGTACGAAACGTAGAACAAATTTCTGCTGCGGACAGCAACGATGAATAAATATCAATAATAAGTGAAACAGGGTTGATTTAGATATACAATTAATGAGAGAAAATGCCATTCACGGTTCGGACTGGATTTCGGTAGCTTAATTATAATAATCTGTGTAAACGCATTTTTTTCTTAAGTAACTGAATAAGCAATCAATTGCATAACGGCGTGTATTCTTCAGGCAGGACGCGTGTCGCAGTGTTCTTTCGGATCTATAATTTTTTTATCCATCTGTCATTGAGGTATAGTTACCGTGCACCTACAGATAATGGCATAGCGTCAGACCTCGTTTGTATTTCTGAGGTGGCTATTCTGAAGATCGTACACACGGTTATGGTACGTCCATGGTTATAATATCATACGCAGTTATAAGTTCGCACGATTTTTCACTTTTATAAACACTTTCTAATGCGTAAGTATAAGCTTTGCGTTATGCAAGACTGGTCGAGTCGCGTTAGGTACTTTCATGTCACTTCGATAATCTTGAATAATCTCAACACTAATGATGCAATTAGAACGCTTGCATCTAATTAGCTAAATCTGCATACAGATAATACGTAAAAATATGTGTATAAATTTATTTTGTTTAGTCTTTTTATTGTTTATAAAAGTATAACGGAGTAAACGATTATTTCTTGGTGCCCGAAGAATAGCATAACATAATAGCCATTTTGTATTACTTATATATAATTCAAAATTAAAATTGGTTAAGAATTCCGCGTCGCTTTTCTTTCTAATTCCTAATTTTCAGTTATATAGGTAATGAGATTCAGAAATTAAATTTGTGAAAGAAATTATATTTTAATTAACAAAGAATCACAATTTTTCGTGTATCTTACAATATTCTTTAACCGATGATTCACAAAATGTAATTTTTGGAGAATGAAAATACGGTATACTATTATCCTCAGAAGCCGCGAATCTTCGAAAATGGTGAGCGCAGCGTACGCCCTGAAAAAGCGATGTTAATTAAAATGCTTAGGGGTTAGAAAGCGTGATGAATGGGATTGTCGGCCATATACCGCGCGACAAGCGGCCGCGCCAAGAAGCACTCTATTAATTATTAGACGACACCAAATCCATTATCCGGGATGAGGAGTGACGGAGGTCCGCGAGGAATAATCCTATTCGAATGCTATTAGTGTTTCACACCGGACGTTCATTTTCCTACCTCCTCACTCTCCTCACCATCCTCCTCCTCCTCCTCCTCTTCCTCCTCGATAAAACAAAGCTAATTACTGGGCCCGTGAACGGGCCAGGCGCGGCACCACGGCTGCGTAGGTCCGGTGTTAACCCTACGTCCCCTCCGTCGGGTCCATTGGACCCACAAGCTTCTAAAAATGAACTTACAGGCGGCTTCGGAACTGCTCTTTCAAGCACAGATATTAGAGCATAGAATAAGAGGAATGGGGCATTGGTATGGTTATAAAATTATAAAATATTGAAATTTATAGAATTTATTCTGAATTTCTCTCAGCCAATGCTATTATAAAATTCTAAATATTAATAACACTTATTTAATCATGCAATAAAACTACTTTATTTTCAAGCTATAATTAAAAATTCTCAATGAATTTATGAATAGAACTTATTTTTGACGAGTCCATCTTGATATCAAATGTATGTCTCTTTCGAGGAATAAAAAAAAATTCTCGGTATTTTCTCGACCTGTTAGAGTCTGTTAGGGTATAAGATAATTTCTCTACTGAGGCGATCTATACTGATCACGAGCGATTTAATATCGTATACGTTGATGATATACTGCTTACATATGGTTAAATGATCAATTTGAGTATCAACACCTCGTTATTCTCTAATATCTTAATATTATAATATATATATTCTTTTTTACAATGAAGTTTATAGCGTCATTATCGAAATTATTACGCTTTTTAAAGATTCTATCTATTTAAAATTCAACGGTAAAAAATGTATAAAAATCTTACAAAAACGTGAAAATAACGTAATATAAAGAAAAATTATATTTCTATAAAATTATTTGTTATTGCGAGAATTATACGTAGGTATATGTATGTTTATCAAACCTAATATCTGAAATAGATATAAAACTTATATGTTTTAAAATTCTTTTTTAAATAAATAAATTAATTAATTATTAATAATTTTACTAAAAATAATTTCTGGAATTCGAAATTTTCTCATAACATGTTTTTGTATTTACTTATACACTGGACTTCTCTCGCGAGCAGAATATGTATAGCGTAACATAAGATACATGGATGCAAAAGTCGGGAAACAAGAGACGTCAGTCTCGAGGTGTCTCGAGGTGTCTCTAGGAGCGGCAGAGCTCACAGTGACATCTCATTAACACTATTTTCTTAATAACCCGCGATAAGAACTGGTCCTGCCCGCGAACCATTCCGACGTGTCCATTTCGTTTTCTCTTTATTTTTTTTTTGCGCAGCCTTGGCGAGCTCCTTGGGGGCAGCGCAAGTAAAGGCCGCGCAAAGGCTGTGCAAAGGCTGTTAAATATATGTATATACCGCGTAAGAATAATAATTATTCCTAAGTATAGGCCTGCGCGAGAATGGCCATCGCGCGGCAACGCGGTGTCTTTGACGGGGTATTCGAGAGTATTCCATACTCGTCTCGTAACGTCATGGTCGCCGTTTCCCATGGCGAGCGCTTCAATTAAACAAACAGTTCGGAGCCAGATGCGTAAAATTCGATTTTACATATTAATTCCATGGATAGTCAATGGCGCCGTCGGAGAATCCACAAAAGTCACGTCATTAACGATGTGACTTACGGTACATTAAGCGTAGCGAGAGTATTGGGTCATGCGGTTAAAAAAGAAAAGAAAATATTCGTGACCGAAAATAAAAATCGAAACTCTCGTTTTGGAACAAAGGAACTTAAAATTATAGAGTGCCCTACGTTTTTATAGGGAGAATCATCACATGGATTCGCGACTTCGTTTTTTACGGCTTAATTAAGATTACAACTTCCAATAAGGCATTTAACTTCGGACGTAAAATTTTTACAATTGAGGATTTGGGTTCTGATATACAATATCTTCTGTGTATTAAAGTCACACATTATTGTTAACTCTGGAGTGTGCTTTCCGAGCTGCAATGTTAATTTCGTAAGCATTTCATTGTGATGAGATTCCATGTCATGTTAACTGTTACGATGCACGCCAATGGCTTCCATATTCATAGCGAGCGTCTTAATTAAGCAGACAGCGCGTTGCTTAAAAATGAAGTTTGCATATTAATTTTTCAAATTGCGGCATCACTTCTCCCCATTTTCCCCATTAGTATGCGTATTTTAAAAAGTTATAAGATTTGAAACTTTTTAACACTTTAAATTCTAAAAGGTCGTTTCGTTAATTAACGAAATATCTCATAGATAAAAAATAATCTAACTTTGCTCACGATAAATAACTTCTCATGTATCTTGCGTTGTATAAATTTATTCCTCTTGCAAACAAGAAAAGATAACATTCTTATACTTTTGAAGATCAATATAGTTTGCTTTTCAAGCGCGATATTTGACGAATTATATATTTCTATAAAATGTTTACGTCAACGTTGGCTAATCGGGCCATCATGTGGTAGCCGTATCTGTCAGTTACCACTGTCATAACTACTAAATAACTCGCACAACTTACACCGAATCGAATGGCCCCGCTCGTCGGCGCGGCGTAAATACTTCAAGTTACGAGCCTGGCATGCGTAAAGACACCCTCTTCGCCTAAAGACACTCCGAATTGGCGAAGTCAAAGGCGCATACGTGTCGGCAGGGTGTCAATCAGTCCGGCTGGCACACCGGCAACTTTTAATTATCGAAATCCCGCGGGACACGGCCCGCCTGTTGTTAACGATTCGCGAAGCGCGCACGCTGATTCCAGTAATGAAGAGTAAAATGTAAATCCGCGTATACACATAACGGTCGGCGTGCCGCCGCGTTCCGCCGCGAATTGATTATTAAAGTTAATCCCCTAGTCATGGAACTCGGAACAAAGGCCCGCTGGTTATTGAACCCCTCATCGCCACGGACCAGCAAGATCGTTGATTGCCGAGCGTTGCAACAGCTTTATTTTTAGCAGGCTGCAACGAGCTGCAACTTCTGGACACTTAGAGCGGCGCTCCGCTGCATTTTTATTTGCAATCTCCGCTGAACGGCATTTCTCGTGAAAACTGATTATACTTTACAGAAGTATATTCGAAGTCGATCTTTTTTAGTTGTTTTCTTCACTCTGCAGTTCTAAGTTCTTTTGCTCCGAAATGAGCACTTCGATTTTTAATACATTGTCGATTTAAGTTATTTATGCAATATACACTTGAAGAGATCTTTAAATAATTTTTGACTAATTATAAGCTTTAAAACTTTAATTAAAGACTAATACAAGATTATTCCAAGTATATTGTTATTTATTTAATTTCCAAAATCTTTTCTATTTTTAACATATAACATTTATCAAAGAAAATGTCTCTAAAATACCTAATTTCTCTCGCTCTCTCTTTTCTTCCACTTTATCAAAATTTATATACATATTACATAAGGATGTATTTGTCTCATTGCAGCTTAAAACCACCACAGAAAGACGGGGTAACAAAGTCAAATCCCAGCAAGCGGCATCGAGAGCGATTAAATGCCGAACTTGATACGCTGGCATCATTACTTCCTTTCGAGCAAAATATCCTCAGTAAGCTGGATCGACTGAGTATCCTCAGACTCAGCGTAAGCTACCTCCGCACCAAGAGCTACTTTCAAGGTAAGTATTCAGAGTTACGTCGCACGTGTGTTATCGCAATTCATCGCGTATATGTCGCGTATCTAAGTTTTCCCCAAGTACATAGTGTGTACGTACAATTCTCATAATTATAAAATGTACAACGCACATCCACAGGAATTAAATCCAATTTAAATTAAATAATTATATTGTTCTAAGTCATTTGACGATTTGTGTTCAAGAAACATATTACGCGCATTGGTTCATTATTAGTTATACGCTGTAACAATTATGTTAAATCTACCTGAAGCTGGTAATAGATTATTTCAATTTATTAATTAATTATCACCACCTGTGCATAAATGATAGCTGAAATACGTAGAATTTGGACAAATATCTTATAGCTATGAGCCCCCATTACAATACAATCCATGATCTTTTGCCAGCACGCGAGATACTCGTTACATTTTCAAGACAATATGATCCGGAAACAATGCGCGGTCCATAAACTTGCCCATCATTCTTTTGTAATCCATTGACCATTGATAGCTTAATATCAAAATCATGTTTTGTTATACATTGCACGGGAATAAGTATCGAAATTAGATCTTTTATTCGAATGCAAAAAATAGTCTTTAAATTATCAAGTACAATTTTATCTGCGTAATAAGAATTTACAGAGAAAAGTATAAATTAAAATATAAATTTAAAGTATTTTAAGTATTAATTGAATCTTTATGGCTGAAATACTACTGCTAAAAATGAATGTATTTAAATAAATAAAATGACGAGATACATTATATGATAGTCAATTCTAGTTCATATTTAAGAATCTTTTGAGACGAAGAGATTTTTTTATTGTATTTTGTGTCCAAAGAGAGAAAATAACTGATTCCCGTGAGTAATATACGCTTTCGTGAGTAATATGTTCGGCTGCAATGCAGAAATTATGCAACTTGAGCGAGAGAACGCCTTCCTGCACCACGGGTGTGCAATCTCATCTGCAATCGCAATCAGGTAGGGCCAATCGAAGAATCACCGCGGAATAATGGTAGACGCTCTCTCGTCTTCTTCCTCTACCATTATCCGCCACCGTGCTTTCGTCCCTTGTTTCCAATCTCGCGACGAGCAAAGTGACTCCTGCGCCAACGCGAAATCGAGCTCATTGATTTTACGTCGGAGTTACCAGGATAGGAAAAAAAGAATAAGATTGTCTTCGCATCCACTTCTCACTTTCTTTGGCGTTAAGAGGAGTCGCATTAGTACCATTTAAAGCGTATCTCCGTCAGTTAATGGAAAAGGATTATTTATTCTGTAAACTTCTTAATACAATGATACGAGATTTTAGAGATGATACGTTCACTTTGCATGTTTCTTTATAATAATTAGTTTAAATAATTGTTAACGTTATAGTATAAATGCTAGATATTTTTTGTACGAAAATACAATGACTATCATGCAATAAGTTCAAGGTATGATTCTTATAAAATTTATTTAAATCAATCAATAATATCAAGATGTATTTAAAGTAAACATAGCGAATGGATTTATATTACTATTCTTTCAAATTCTTGATCACAATCTCTACTTTTTGATGCCATCGTTCTTAATCATCATACTTTATATTCAAATGGGACAACCATTTGACTTTTATAAAAAGTAATTCCTATTTCTAGAATATTTATATAATTTATTGAAATTAAAATTTTGGTTCTTTTTTCCAAAATCTATGAATGCAGGATGTAAATAGTATATTGTACAACTAGTGGGAAAAGTGGTCGATTCTGAAAGTGTGAAGTTGGTCGCAGAAGCGAGTTTTTCGGGCCGCTTTTCGCGCTTGTTTTACAATTTCATTTCTCCACTAGTTGAGAAATGGCTCCATTTTTCAACTAGTGGAGAAATGGATCGTTTTGCTCATGCACTCAAAACAAGCGCGAAAAACGGCCCATTTCACGCTCGCGTTAATAGGAAAACATTTTTATCGAAGGTCTGGCATTTTTTTAAATAGTTACTCACGAATTCTATCAAAAAATATGATTGATACTAACGATAAAAAAAATAACTATCAATTTTTATGCAAGAAAACATGATATTAATACTAATATAGTATTGAACCGTTATTTGTTATACTTAATTGCCACAATTCTTCTTGCTTCGTATCCAAAAATTCTTTAATTCTTCGGGGAAAAGCCAGAGCTTTTGATTCTGTAAATAGGGTCAATTAACTAGACATATGACTGTCGCGCTAAATGCCACTACGCGACGGCGTTTCCTTCGAAAGAGAGAGCGGCAAACGGAGGAGGAACGGGTGGGAAAGAGTCCATTAGCGGAAGAGGTGGGCATCACACGGCGCGGTCGATGGTCGGGAACGGCCCGGCGGCCGGGCCGATCCCCGTCTTCCGAGTGAGCGTGATGGAGGAAGCGAGATGGCAAATGTACCGGGGCGCAATAGCGTATGCAAGGTAATGCACGGGCACGAATCCGGATTGAACGCGCGGAGGAGGACGCCTCCTCCTCCGTGATGCTGGTACGTCCGTTTGTGTACGTGCGTTACTTGCTGCCGGTTACCTCCGCTCCGCGCGATATCGCGGATCTCGCAGTATATCACCGGGGGCCCGCGCGCGCGAGGGTTGCGGCCCGGGCCCTTCTACTTAGCGCTCTTGTTGCTGCCCGTTGCTGCCGCTTGCGTTGCTATGCTGGTCATTGCTGCTGCTGCTGCTGCTGCTGCTGCGATACCGCAGAACCAGACTTTCGCGCACGCGCGCGAAAGACGCAGCGACCTAACCCGCAGCGCATTGTTCACACCGTTTTAATAGGTATTCATTGTCGAGGCTCGGATCTCTTCGCGCCGAGGGGACTCCTAACTGAGCACCCCGATCTGTTCCGATATCTGGGAGTTCTCGTGCCCATAAGGTCCTCCTTCGTCACTCCCCGCCTCGCCGCTTTCGCGGAAATCAAGATATGCCATATGCTTTAGAGTTTTGGATTTTGTCTTTTTTTGTGTAAAATGGAGTATCTGAGTTATGACGATAATTAAGAAGAGACTAACAATAAGTTAAAGGAAATCAAGATAGAAATAATATATATTTCGGACTGCTTAGCAATATTAATTACGTTATTTATTAATTATCATCGTTCATCTATTTCGTTTATCTTTTATTTCTAGTGGATTTAAAACTAACTAATTGACATTATGGAGAATACAATTTTGATACTCTTATCAATTCTATACTGATTCTCTTAGCTTTGTTTTAGAGATATATAAATATCGTAACGTTAATTAAAGGAACTGTGTAGAAGCATTACTAGAATCGCACTGTCGTTTCCATTCTCGATCATTTCTCTTAGCTTTCCCGTCCGTTATCGATTGGACGGGATCCAATTTCCGGAAAGTTATCGACGCCAACGACTTCCGTCCCGCAGAAACGGGCTCCTCTGATTAAAGAAACTCCATTCGCGCCTTGGCGAGCGTTGCAGCTGTTAACAAGATTAACAGCTTCGCGTTCGATCGGCAACATTAATCCAGAGTAACACGGGTAGTAAACCCGTGAGGAATCCCCCTTCCCACCCCTTGCCCCCGCCTTTTGCTCTCCGCGAGCGCTATGTAAATTAATTAGGGCCCTCGGTAACCGCGCTGATTTTTCAAGTAGGCACGTGGTGCGTGCCTCCTTCGCCTCGAGATAGAAAGAAACGGAGGGAAAAGAAGGAGAGACGAGAAGGGAGAAAAGTGAAAGAAATGGAAGAAGAAGAAGAAGGTGGCGAAGTCCGGGCCCCGGAGGTGAATTCGCCGGGCGTTGAAGAGGCGGTAGTGTGCGATAGTCCCTCTGCGCCTCGGATACCTTCTGGGGCTCCAGATAGCAGATCTACCCCAGAGGCTGTGCGCCTCTCTCGCGCCTTTCTCACACTTCCGAGGCACTCTCTTTCCTCACACCCTCGCTCGCACTACCGGTCGCAGAAGAGAATCGCGGCAATTAACCTACGCCACTTAGTCTTATTATTGGTAGGCCTCTCCCATCTCCCTCTTCTCCTTACCCCTGCTAGGCGCGTCGTCCTTGATTCTTCTTCTCGCTGCTCTCCGCACCAACATCGGTTTCGAGCCGCGCTTCCGGCGCGATCCTGCACGCGTCCCCTACGTCAGAATGCATGCAATCTCGCGGAGGAAGTCGTTTCTTTTTCGTATAGAGAAAATCTGCCGCTGTTAATTTTTCTCAGCACTGCTATTTTTCTCTTCAACAAGTTTCTTCAATTTCAAGCGAAATACATAATCTGGACGATATATGAGATTTGTAATTGAGAGAAGTAATACATTATTTTTATAATTCTCTCTCACATATACTTATATACACAATATACTATATAATATTTTACCTTGATTTTTTAAAAATAGGTAAGTATTAAGTACAAATTTTATTGCAATCCGTTAGTATTTGATAACTTGACTACATGGTAGACAAATTTGACTATTATTTGTAAATTATAAAATCCTTTGTTTGGTAAAAATTTAATAACAATTTAAATATAAATATATAAAGCGCACACGTTTAAAAAAATTAAAATCTAATATTTGTTTAAAGAATGACATTTATTGTTATTTTATCTTAAAAATATCTATGAAAATTAATTCATTATTAACTTTTTCTTCAATCTTTCATGCTCTGAGAGATGTAAAATTGTATAATTTTAATAAATCAAGGAAATGCGAAATTAAGTCATCATATTTTTCGTGGCGATTTAATCTCGTTTTATTAAAAAGTCATCAGAAATGAAATATTCGGTATACGATGTTTTCATAATACGGTAGATATTTCGCAGAAGGTTGGCGTATGGCCTTGGCGCTTGTTTGGTGACGTATATACGGCACGCTGTTGCGTACGCGCAGCAACCGTTCGCCATTGACGCGACGGAGCTCGAGCAGGTGGCGCTCCGTGTGTCGTCGCGCTATCATTTCTCGAAACGCGTTTGCGACGGGTATAATAAAGCGAAATGCTACTTACTCTTTATTTATTTTTTATGAACAATTGTTAACCCGTACGATGAATTCT